GCGCCGCCGGGCCGGCCCCTACTTTCTCCTTCGATGTATATGATTTTTTTTTGGATTACACACATAAGTGAGATAATTTGATGGTTGTCTTTCTGTGCCTGTCCTATTTCGCTCAGCATAACATCCTCTAGGTTTCATCCATATTGTTGCAAATGACAATTTCCTTCTTTTTTTAAGGTGAATAGTACACACACACACACACACACACACCCTGTTTTCTTTATCTATTCATCTGGTGGTGGCTACTTCAGTTGTTTACATATCTTGGCTGCAATGAACATGGGAGTGCAGATATCTCTATAACAAACTGATTTCAATTCCTTTGGATATACACCCAGAAGTAAAATTGCTGAATCATATGGCAATTCTGTTTCAGCTTTTGAGGAACCTCCACACTGCTTTCCAAAATAACTAGTCATTTACATTCTCATCAACAGAGTACAAAGGTTCCCTTTTCTCCACAGAGTTTTCACAATAACTCTTTCACTTCTGTGATGTGTTGAGTACATTTTATTTTCCTAAGTTTGTTATGAACATGGGCATTTGAGGTAGGTTTTTAAAGTCATCTATTTGTTAAAATTTACCTTAATGACTCCATAAAACCAAGACATAAGGTCAGTATAAGATCGAGACAGTATTTTTTTTAAAAGAATTATCAGGAAAGAAAAATAAATTCTATATATGTAAGTATTGCTTTCATTCAATTCAAACTTAAAGCAAATTAAAAAGAAAAAAACAATACAAATTCGTTTTTAGAAGAGATAACATTTCTAATTTCCTAGGTAAATGAAAAAAATTTAAGGTTTCTTACATGTTTCAAACTTAAAACAATACATATTAAGTCCAAAATGTTTGTTATATTAACTAAAATTAATTAAACATTTCTTAATCAACTGATGTTAAACTTTTGGTTATAAGTGAATGGTTTCTAAACGTGTACACATGTGTGAGTAATTGTGGGTTTTCAATCCAACTAGATGGAATGTAAAGAGAATGGGACTATAGTCAAGTGACCAGGGTTTTTGTCCCCTTTCTGTCAACAACCATTACCACTGGTTATTTCATCACCTTTCGGAACTAATTTTTTTGTCAGTATAAAATGAAAGTTAGGTCCTTAGAGTTATAGTATTATAAATCTTGACACATAAAAAAATTCAAAAAAATAATAAAGGACAATCCACAAATCTCTTAGATTAGCATCAGAAAGGAGCACATGATCTTCATGTATATCTACATACATAAATGCCCAATGAAATTAGCCTAAGACAGGAAAGGAGACATGGTAGTGTACTTATCAGAAAAATATCAATCTTGGATTTAAAAATGGGTATAGATAATCCATACATAGATAAATCAATAATATCATAAAATACACATTTAATTACTAACTTAAACCGAGTAAACTGAAATTACTTACATCATCTTCATATTTAATGTGAATGTCTGTGATTTTTACTTGTACATTTTTTATTACTTGAGTTGCCAATTTTTCCAAAAATGTATCCTTTTTGGCTTCTTTTGGCTTATCTATAAAAAACAGAAAAATATAAGCTCAAGAGTTGAAATACTCACATACCTCATAATCAATGACCAACGGATGGCTAAGGCACTACTGAATGGAAATTACAGCCTATTCTAGTGTCTTTATTTTATTTTAGATTTATTTTAGATTCTAAAATGCATTTCCAACTTAAAACTTATTTCTGAAGTTACGTTGTAATCTAACATTCATTTTACCTTCCAAGACAGAAATCAAGTTGCAGTGTGTATAAACAACACATGGCATAAGAACATCTTTTACCTACCTTTTGAGCGATCAAGACCTTTAAAAGGTTTCTTAAAATGTTTTTTGTGCTTTTTACGTTTACGTCCTTCTCAGTGGAAGCATTTTAGTGAGAAAAGGATAAAATTCAAGTTAGCCAACTAGAGGACAGAAAAGAAAACAAGAGAATTCTTCCTGACAGCAAATTATGGTACAACCCACCTTACCTTATTCTAAACCGATCTGTTATTTCAATACAAACACAAATTCGCAAACCATCTTTAGCCTAGAATAACCTTCATTAATCTAGAAAATAGCATGGTAGGTGCAATTATACAAAAATTGGATGAAATGTCAATTCACAAAGCCATTTCTAATATTAATGACTTTACAATAAAAGTTTCACTTTAATTTCAGTATGTTACCAAAATATTGGAAATGTAGTGACAGAATATAAACCTTTCTAAGAAAGGTTTTGATAAATGCATGGTAGGAACAAACACAGGAACACAAATGAAATGAATGAATAAACTGCCAATAGATGACTTCCTCTGGAATGATACACCTCACAAGCAAAATTATTTAGTAACTCAAGGATAAAAAGAATATAAAAGGGGGATAAAATGTACATTGAACTTACAGTGAATTTAATAATTCCTTTAAAACCCCATCCTCTTTTATTTAAGAATGACTCACTGCATTTTTATGTTAATCAACACCTGTCTTACTCAACTTCCAAATCTTTGTATTCAACTGCCTACCAGGCATCACCTCTAGTCTGAACTCTTGAGGCATTCTCTGTATTATTTCTTGGCCTCTAGTATCCATCCTTACCTCCTATTAAAACTCCTTCTATATTGCTATGAGACTGATGTCTTCTAAAATACTAATCACGGCCTGCTAATCCCCTGTTCAAAATTATTTAAAGGCTCTCTACAACCTGCCAGATGAAATCAAAATGTGTTTGCATGACACAGAAGGTCCTTTTATGATCTGACCCCTACCTCCCCATCCTGTTCTATCTCCTGCCACTCATCCTTGCACTGCTTACTTACACTTTCCAAAATAAGCCAAACTTTCTAATGCCTAATGCCTCTATACATGTCATTCCCTGAATTTGGGTTGCCTTCCTTGAAGTTCTTCACCACGCAAACACCTAGGAGGCTTCCAAGTCTCAGGCCCCACACAACTCCCCGTGTGAAGCCTTCTTTAATTCCTCAAGGCAACTCCAGGCCCTGTACCTTATACAGAACTCCATAAAGGAATCATTACTACACTATATTTAAAGTGTTTGCACAATTGTCTTGCCAATAGGCAGGAGGCTTCACTAGGACAGGGATTATCCTAATATCTGGGCAAAAAGCACACAATACTTATTTGTTCAAATAAATAAAAAATCCACATTCGCACATTATAACAAAATATATAAATCCAATTAATGTTATATACATTTGAGAGAATACACATGAAATTTAGCTTGAAACTTTTAATTTGTTCTTTCTTGATATTTTAAAGAAAATTGTCTTGCCACTACAAAAAGTAAGAACCAAATCCTAGATTATAAGACTAAAACCCTGAGTTTCAAGAAGAAAATATTT